CCCTTTTCCTGGCAGAAGAATGGAAAAGGATTTTTTTGCAGCGATGCTGCTGCTCCAGTTGGAATTTTAAAGCAGCCACAGCTTCTCTGGGAATTTGGAAATGATTCCAGCTCCATGCTGAGGACCACGGTGCTTCCAGGAATGGTGGCAGGGGCTCAGAGCAAACCCTGAGGAAGAAATTCCTGAAAGAAGCTCCTGGAGAGGTGCCTGATCCTCCAGGGCATGGTTTAGGTGTGGTTTGGACAAGGAAGGACAAGGGAATGTCCCAGGGAATTGGGAAAATGAGGGGAGCACCAGCACAGCCAAGACTTCATCCTTCATAAATGTGGGGAAAAACTAAGGATGATTTCCCAGAGAAAGGGCAAAACATTCCTGAATCCACTAAATCTGAGTTCATGCTGACTTAAATCCATGGAGAGGCTTTGCCAAGGGATGGGGTGGATATTCCATCCCTGGAATTGTCCAAGGCCTGGAGCAACCAGATTTCATTAAAAATGTCCCTTCCCATGGCCTTTTCCAGCCAAACCATTCCATAATTCCAAGATCTTTCATGGAGCAGATCCATCCTTGTCCCACCCATAAGAAACGAGACAGGGGCAAACCCAATCCAGGGTGAGCTGTGCTCCATTTTGCCACTGAAAATATCCAAAAAATCAGGGAAAACCTGGAAAATTAAATTATTTCCATGTTTTCTCCTCCTGGAAATCTCCAAAAGATGCTTTTCCTTAGAGAAAAAAAAAAAAAAAGGAGTTTCCAAAGAGCTCTTTGCAGAGATGGATTCTGGGATATCAGAAGGGATGATCCAGTGCCCATCTCCCCAAATCCCAGTTTTCTGGGAGAAGGGAAGGCAGGAGATGTGAGATCCCTGAGGGTCCCATGGATTAGTGGTGGGAGGTTGGACTGGATCATCTTTTCCAACCTCAGTTATTCCTGGCACCCCTGGAATGCTGCCATGGATGGGGACAATCCCTTCCAGAGGTGTTGGAGTTGTTTGGATTGTCAGCTTTGCTCAGCTCCCAATTCAACATCCAAAGAGCTCCAAAGAAACTTCCAAAAGCTCCAAGGAAAGGGAAAGCTCTGATCACCAGCTAACAATTAAACCCTCCCTAATTAGCCCTTGATTGGCTTGATGTTGCACTTGGCTGGAAGCACCGACAGGGTGATGTAAGACAAAGTAAATAATTAAAGATGAGCTCATTAATTAACGCAATATCCCGTGGCAGAAAAATTCCACAGGCCAGAACAACGTGGAATTAATATTCCAAACTGTCTTCCCTGGCTGGTGGGATCAGGAGTTGGTTGATAAAAGGAATTAAATCCAGGGAATGCCATTAAAGCTCTGTTTAGTCCTACCCAGGGCTGTGATGAATAATTGAAAGAATGAATTTTAATATTAAATCTGCAGCCCTGCCAAGCCAGCCCCATCCGCTCTGGACAGAGATTCCTGATGGAAATGAAGGAAGGAATTCCACAAGGATGTGTATGAAAGGATTTCATGGATAGGGAACAAAATATTGTCTAAAAAAACCAAAAAAATCCCTCTTTGGATAAAACTTTGGGGACAAATTCAGTCCAGGGCAGCCCCAGCAGAGAAAATTCCAGCTCAAGGAGGTCAAACTTCCCAAACTGAGGAGAAATTTTAAACCAGGACTTGTCAGGTAAACTCAGGTCTAGGTAATCCTAATCCTGGCTCCCAGGGGCACAGAGAATCATGGAATTGTTCAGGTTGGAAAAGGCCTTTAGGATCAAGTCTGGCTGTCCATGCACCCCAACAGGCACCACGATCCCATGGCCCCAAGAGCCACATCCATGGGTTTTGGAAAATTCCAGGGATTGTGGCTGCACTGCTGCCCTGGGCAGGGTTTGACAGCCCTTTCCAGGAGGAATTTTTCCCTAAAATCCAACTTGAACCTTCCCTGAGGCCGTTCCCTCTGGTCCTATGGCTCGTTAATGGTGCAGAGCAATGATAATGGAGAAGGTGAAGTGGAAAGAGGAGGAGGAAGAGGAAAAAGGGGAAGATGAGGAAGAAGAAAGAAGATGAAAGAAGAAAAAGGGGGGAAAAGGAGAAGGAGAAGGAGAAGGAGAAGGAGAAGGAGAAGGAGAAGGAGGAGAAGAGGAGAAGAAGAAGAGGAAGAAGAAGAAGAAGGAGAAGAAGAAGAGGAGGAGGAAAAAAAGGAGAAGAAGAGGAGGAGGAGGAGAAAAGGAGGAGAAGAAGAAGAAGAAGAAGAAGAAGAAGAAGAAAAAGGAGAAAAAGAAAAAGAAGAAGGAGAAGAAGAAGAAGAGGAGGAAGAAGAGGAGGAAGAAGAAGCAGAAGAAGATGAAGACGAAGAAGAACAAGAACAAGAAAAAGAAGAAGGAGAAGAAGAAGAAGAGGAGGAAGAAGAGGAGGAAGAAGAGGAGGAAGAAGAAGCAGAAGAAGATCTCATTTCAGCCCTCCTTTGCAAACTGCCGAACACAGAGATCAGCCCAGCCTGCCTTGAGGAGCCCAAGCCACAGTGAGAATCTGTCCTGGGGTGTCCCCAGCCGGGCCAGGCCGGGAGCCAGCAGGGCTCAGCTGTGTCCTGGAGGATCCTCTGGCACCTCAGCAGCTGCTGCAGGGAGGGAGAAGCTCCCTGGGCTCCTCCTCCTCCTCCTCCTTCTCCCTCAGCCTCTGCCCTGATGGATTTGCTCCCAGCCCCTGCAGGGTTTTCCCAAGCCACAGCCTGCAATGGACTTCGTGTTGCTCTCTGGATGTGATCTGGCCCTGAATAAAATCTCGAGGTGGTGAAGCTGCGAGGAGCATGAACTCAGCTCTGCTTCCCCACAAACACAATTTGCCTTGTCACTTCTTATTTATTTGGAAGAGACTGGCAGGTTACATCTGCCTCGTGTTGGCCCTGATGCTATAAATTAACCCCTTTTCCAAGTGTGATTTATTTGGCTTTCATCTCCTCCAATCTGGCTCCAAATGTACAGAAAAAAAAAGAAAAAAAAAAAAAAAAAGGAGATTTTTGCAGGCTCGGGGGGTCAGAATAAATCTTTCCAGCCAGGCTGCTTGAAATGCTGCACTGAAAAGCTGGCTCTGAGCATACCAATGGCTCTCTGCAGCCCCAGTCCAGCACATTTCTATTTTCCTGCGTGAAAAACCAGAAATAAACCCGCTAAAAATGGGTTACAACAACCCATTATTCCCCCCAAAACAAAAGCTCCACACAACTGCCACATTCCTGCCTTGCAGTTATTTATTGGGCTTTTTTTTTTTTTCCACTCATGCCTAAGAAGTGCCCAATTTCTTGTCTCTATTCACATTCCCACTGAAATCCAAGCCTCTTTTTTAACCATTTCATCATTTTTTTCAGCGTTTCCTGTTCCCTGGGGCTTTGACTCCATTTGTGCTACCGAGATTTGGGAGCACAACAGAGCACACAAAGAATTTATTTCCTAAATAAACTCAGTTTTAGCTTTAAGAGACTAAGAAAAGTCCAAGTGTCACTTCCAGCATCCTTAATCCACCATAAATTAGCAGGATGGGATGAACCCAAAATGATCACAGGGAAGGATGGGAAGTGGAAAACATCATCAAATCATTTTAGGACTCATTTTCAATTTTGTGGCTTTGCTAAAACCACTCCAACTGCCCCAATGCTGGCAAAATAATTTCCTTTTTCCAGCTCCAAGCTCCTGAAGATAAAAAACACACTGAGCTCGGTTCCATCACAGGAATTACCCACCAGGGGTGGATCCTGGGGGCTGCACAGCCTCCCCCAGCCTGGGACCTGCTGGAAAACTTCCCAAAATTCGTTAGTGCTGGAGAAAAGGAACAAATTCCAACAGCCCTCAGTTCCCAAGGGACTGGTTGGGGTCTCTGATGTGCTCACCCCTCTCTCCAAGCTGGAGAGAAGAGGAAATTCAATTTCAGTGCCAGTGGAATTTTGCTGCTGCTGACTCCCCCAAAACCCCTTGGATTGGTGCCCACGGAGGAGGAATATTCACATTTTCCACTGTGAAATCCTGATCTTCAAATGAGCTAAATCTCACTTTTTTTTTTTTTTTTTTCACCAAACACAATCCCAGCAAGACTCCTCAAGTTGAGGAGGAAGTTTTTGGTAACTGGGGCAGGAGTAGAGTGACCCAACAACACCCAAACCTTCTTGGGCCTCCAAGACCTCACTGTCACCAAAATTCAGGAATAAAAAAAAACCTCTCCAACATCATCTTTTAAGTGTCCCTTTATCTCCTTCTGGATAATCCCAACCTAGAAATTCCAACCTCAAAATCTGGGAATTTTCCTTTTGTTGTT